AACACAGGGATCAGTGCTGAGTGTGTAATTTGATTTCATATACAGATGATTTGGACTTGGGAAAATGCACAATACTAAAATTTGCAGATGACACATGGAGCTTTGTAAACAGTGAAGAAGACTGCAATATTTAGCTGGCTCAGTAATAGCACATGCCTCTGAGTCAGAAGACTTTAAGATAACATAGACATACTTATCAGAATGGACAGAGAGGTGACTTGTAGTTTCGTTAGGAAAATGTGAAATAATACCTTCTTCATTAAGGGAAGAAAGTGAGTCGCTGACAGAAGAAAAAGAAGGCAAATGAGTAATTCCATGAACTATGAAAACAAATTTTAAAAACAATTAAAATGAACAAAGTGCTATTTGACTCTGATATTATTTCTCACCAAACTTTTCTGCAAGCTTATTGCAGTGTGGATTTATTTCAGAGATTGCACCAACAGTAAATCCAGAGCCTCCAGAGGAAACACTGACTCTCACATGATTGTAAAACCAGGACAAAGTGTACTGCTGCCAAAGCAGGTTCTGTGTGTTTGGAGTCATTGCTTAACAACACCTTTATCAATAAGATTACATCAGCAGAATAAGGCTACACATTTGGTCTCTTGCCTATCAATGAGGAAAATAAACTTGTCCAACCACATTACCTCTGATCGAAGCTACTATGTTGTGAAGCTATAATACAAACTGGACGGCTGAGATTGATTTACCAAAATCAATATCAGTTAGACTCAAGCCAAGCTTGATCTAATTTTAAAATTGGATGAAGACATTTCAGGCACTATCATTTTATATTGTGAATTGATGAGTCAGCAAGCATATACCAACATTGTAGTTCATAACATACATTGGTAAAATGCTGGAGGTTTACATCGATTCAAATAAATAATTAAGTTTTTTTTTAAACTTTCACTTTGACATACTCACCAAGTGACACTTGTCCTAGATTGTTTATCTTAGCTAAGTATCTGCCAACAGCTTGTCTGTCCATTGGTCAAGAACAGCCTTGCTTTCGTGTGGATGGCAACATTGCAGTCCCTGAGTGACATTGACACTATATGTCAGAAAAATATGGCAAGATCAGCAGAAGTGATATTCTTGACATCATGAAAAAAATGTCTCTGATTCTACAACCAAGTTTTGAACATTGAGACAAGAATGTCATTAGTGAGCAGTAAGAAGTTCATTTGCATGGATTACCCTATAATGGACATCAGCCAGCACTGTTCCCCCTCTCTTTTTCAGCTGTGCAGATCTCTGAGGTCCATACCTAGCAGAAGTCAATGCTACAAGTGACATGCCACCATTGATTGCTATGCACAGAACCTGAAAACACTGAGCAGGATCATTAACAATCATCATCAATTAAAAAGCGGCACGGTGGCTCAGTGGTTAGCACTGCTGCCGTGTTTGATTCCACCCTCAGGCAACTGTCTGTGTGGAGTTTGCATATTCTCCCTGTGTCTGTGTGGGTTTCCTCCGGGTGCTCTGGTTTCCTTCCACAGTCCAAAGATGTGCAGGCCAGGTAGATTGGCCATGCTAAATTGCCCATAGTGTTCAGGGATGTGTAGATTAGGTGGGTTATAGGGGGATGGGTCTGGGGGGGATGCTCTGATGGTCCGTGTGGACTAGTTGGGCCGAAGGGCCTGTTTTCACACTGTAGGGATTCTATTCTTTTCTATGATACTATCAACATCACAGGACACAATATTTGTACAGCAACCACCCATTCAAGAAGGTTGGCATCAGACAAGTATCAGCCTTTCCACATCCTCACTACACATTTCTGACCCATTTACAATATAGTTCTCCCCTCAGTGCTGCACTTGGAGCACACAGGCACCTTTCATTGTAACGATACAACCAGGACACTTTCCACGCAGAGACAATCACCTAACTCATGGAGTGGTACAGGGTGTACAGGGCCAAACACAGGGCCCCTTGCTTTCTGTCTTAGTGCTCAACCACATTGACAGCTCACAGCATCCCTGCCCTGCCTTGTCCTTTTGTGCTTTGTCTTCCTTGTTCAGACCTTAAAGACTCACAGTACTTCTATCTTTACTTGCTGTTTGATGCAGACACAAAGTCAGGCAGTTTGTCATTGTTGCCAGCAGTGATCTGTCAAGGGCGTGGACATGTCGATTTTTGGTACCATGTTACATTAAAGTTATACCTGCACCATGTACCAGCAACGGATGTAACTAATGCACTGCATGTGCTTCAACCAAAGAATTATGTCTCAAATCTTCAGTCAAGTCAAGAAAGACAATCTTCAGTCAGGGTATCTAGCACAGCAAGTCAAGGGCAACATCTGATATTTTATAAAGGCTTGGACACAACTTAGGCTGTTAGGGTTACTGGGTTTGTATCACTAGGCTAGTGAATTGGATTAGTCAACCAGGGAGCTACACAGATCAGTCAGGGGTCGCTTAAAGTCAAGAGGTTATCTGAGCCACTGCTGCGGTAGAGAAGTTGGGTAAGTCAATTATCTAGATTAGGGGCAGCGTGCTAGGCTACAGAGGTGACAATAATTGTGAAGGTTGGGGAAGGACAACTCAACATTTAAGGGAGAAAACAGTAGTGGATTGGAGAACATGGATTATGGTGGGGGAGTAGGAAATCATTAATGGTCATAACCACGCTGGCTTTGATGTGAGTCCGTAGAGTACAATGGTTGGTATGTCTAAGTAGGACTGGAATCAGGGTAATGTTGTAAGATAAAGTGGTAAATGAAAGAGGTGCGTGGGAACTTGTGGAAGTGTAGTACTGATGGACTCGACAGGGAGTGTCAGCAGTAAAACAACAAGGTGATTTTGGGTGGGGTGGATTGTAGGGCAAGCATATGATTAGCAGGCTGAGCCTGGGACTCACTGTGCCAAGTATGACCTGCACCGCTTGTAAATGCGCAATGAGAAATGGAAAATGGCTGCAACCACACAGAGTGACCAGAGTGTGTTTTTTCTGTCTGAGAATGCAGACTCTATTTGTAAGTTAAGTGAGGCTGGACTCAAAATGTTAACTCTGTTTTTCTCTCCACAGATGTTACTAGATCTGTTGTGTTTTTTCAGCACATTTTTTTTTTGTCTTCAAGGGACAATTGCATTAATTATGCACTTACACAGTACGAGTTGAAGTTATCTGTAATCATTGTATTCTGCGTACGAAATGCATTCAATGTCTATCCAAATCATGATGTGGAGGTGCCAGTGTTGGACTGGCATGGACAAGGTCAGAATTTACATGACACCAAGTTATTGTCTAACAGGTTTATTTGAAATCACAAGCTTTTTTCACGCTGCCCCTTCGTCAGGTGAAGTGAAAAAAAGCGCGCGGGCAGAGAATATGTAGGCAGAGAGATCAATAGGCAGAGAGATCAAAAGATCATACAAATGGTGTGAATGGAATTACTGAGCAGAAACTGACAGCCAAGTTGCGTACCCATGAAGACAACCATGATCTTTGGTTCATGCTGTGCTACAAGTGATCCCACCGTACTGTTCTATATTTGTAAAATCTTCCTTACTGTCCTGTTTTAACACCATCACCTTGATAAGTTGTTATGATGTCGCTACCTTAACTTGGTTCTACAGTTTTGAATTACTTGTTACCTTGATTAGATCATTGCCATGCAACTCTTATACCTATCATGTTATTCCAGCCATTTAGTTTGTCTCCAGCACCACCTTATTTTTAATTTGTTGTAATTATCTCTCTGCCTCAATTAATTGGATTATAGGTCATCTCCTTCATTTACTTTTCAGCTGTTGATACTTTACTTGTACCACTTGACACTTTTGATCACGTGCAGAGACTTATTATTCGACACTCCACTCACTCATTTGTATGACCTTTTGATCTCTCTGCCCAATGATTTCACTGCCTATAAATTCTATGCCTGTAAACTATTCTTCACTTCACCTGACGAAGGGGCAGCACTTTGAAAGCTTTTGATTTCAAATAAACCTGTTGGACTATAACCTGGTGTCATGTGACTTCTGACTTTATCCAAATCATGGTCACAAGCAATCTTTCCCATGTCATTGGTAATTGCTCTGCACAACTGAAGCAGGTAAAGGGGGGATATATTGGACACTGAAAAACTGGGAGAACAGCGGTAGATGAGGACATTGAGTAGGGACAAATGTTACCTTCAGCATAACAAAGTGCTGCAATGTAGACAGATGGGACTGAATTGACACCCACTTCCAACAGATGTATGTTGGATTACTAATTAACTCTAAATCTGTTGTTGATCCTGTCTTTTCCCTGAAGCAAATGCAACTTTTCTCTGTTTCTTTGTTTTTCTTGTTGATGAATAAAAGTGAATGTTTCCAACCGTTTGAAGACTTTTCAGACTGCCACGGTCCTGTGTTAAATAATGAGAAATGTTAGGCTATACTGGGCTTTAAGGAAAGAATTGCACTCCCTTGGACAGGGTTCTAAGATGGGAAGATGCTTAGGACAAGTAATCTATGTTGCTTGGTGATAATGTGATGATATGAAGTAACAATGTATTTACAAATGTCCGTCTGTGTTTGCAGTGAAGTCTCAACCATGCTACCTACTGGGTCTGCAGAAGTGCTTCCTTTTCATTCTCTTACCACTAAATGGTCAGTGACACCCACACACTGTGAGTAAATTTTGAAAAAACACAAGCACTGTGAAGGGCAGATCCTGGCTGACTGTGTTTGAGCTGATGCCCAGTTGAGCTTTAAAAATAGTGCTGGCTACAGGAATCCTGGGACGGTTCAGCAATGGCATGTACTTCCCCTGTTGCTGAGGAGTAGGTGGGGCGAACAGAAAACCACTGAGGCATGGTGCATATCAATTGAGACAAGCCGCAAAGAAAAACCCACCAGGGTGCACAGAGAGAAAACCTTCATTAAATTCCCTGAAATTAGCCAATTTCTGGTAAAATTGAGCTCAGTGTCTTTCCTGGCACTGCAATGTCATGCGTATATTACCCAACCTAAGTTAGAGTAAACACATTGTGTGCCACTAGATTGATATGTAGACCAGAACAGTTAAGGTTCTTATAATGCTGGCTCATTATAGTGCAGTGAGGCTAAAAGCATAAAGCTAGACTGAAGGAAGTAGCAAGGATGGTGGAACAAGAACTGTTGAACTGTTAATGCATTTGGGGATGTGAGTGATTATTCACATGATGATCTTTTGGATGGATTTGTCTCATCAAGGGTCCATCAGCCAGGGGCACTAATGGTCAGTATTGCTCAGCTCTTTTTCCTTTTTATACTTCATCCTATCATTCTTCTTCCAGCTGTTATTTTAATACCAGCAGGTATTAATAAGAGCTGGTCAGTCATGATAGCAAAGTCGTACAAAATGCAGAAAACAACAACAAATCTGGAAACATGGCTTGGTCAGCACCACAAAAATACTCCTCAGTGGTCCAGGAAATGGATGTATTGTTTGAATATTAACTGTCTTCTCAAAGATGCTTTCATTGGTGTGCCCAGGCTCTGAACAGGAGTCATGAACTATGCCACCCATGTAGCCAATCCATGACTCGATTGCCCAGTTGGAATAAAGGTGGCCTGAGGATGAAGGAAATGTGGTTTGAGACTTGCGTTGTGGCTGAAGAGCCTCCTTCTTTAGGCAAGGGCACCTTAGGTAAATGAGTGGTGGAGTCCACGAGCCAAGAAGTTCAGGTATAATAAGCGCTCTCCTAAGAATAGATGTCAGTCCAAACTCACCCTAACCTAACTACCCAGCTCTGCAGTTAATCTGTTTTGAAAGCAGCAAAAAGCAGTTTAGAACTCGTAAAAATTAATCAGATATCAGTGTTAAATTGTAATTTCAGAGAATAGAGCAATAATTGACCGTAGGTTAACCTATACTCTAAAGGGAAGATCAGCAACTTACCTGTATCTAACAGGTATTTAATTGAGGTGTCCTTGCTACTGATTACCACAAATTCTGAATGTGTTTGTCACTGAGAGTTGACCCAATTTCATGCATGGTGTCATAAACAACAGACGACACTTCCTGAAATACCACGGCGAGCACCTTGAATCATTCCTAAGGACATCTGAAAAGATACTAAATCCAAAGAGCCTGTCAAAACCATCATATTGGAAGCTTAGGTATTCCTTTTTTTCCATTAAAATGACTAAGGTGACATCTAAATTTCTAGCCCCACATTCATATATATGAATATGAAGTATAAGATTATGTACTTTGGTATGAAGAAGAGAGGCATAGACTATTTTCTAGATGGGGAAATGCTTCAGAAATCTGAAGCACAAACCGTCTTAGGAGTCCTAGTTCAGGATTCTCTTAAGGTCAACATGCAAGTTCAGTTGGCAGTTAGGAAGGCAAATACAATGTTAGCATTCATTTCAAGAGGGCAAGAATACATAAGCAAAGATATACTGCTGAGGCTGGATAAGGGCCTAGTCAGACTGCATTTGGAATATTGTGAGCAATTTTGGGCCCCGTATCTAAGGTATGATGTGCTGTGCTGGACGGGTCTGGAGGAGGTTTATAAGGATGATCCTGGGATGCAGGGCTTGTCATATGACGAGCTGTTGTGGACTCTGGGTCTATTCTGGGAGTTTAGAAGGATGAGGGGGAATTTGATTGAAACTTACAGAGTTCTGAGAGGCCTGGATAGTGTGGTTTTGAAGAAAGTATTTCCACAAGTAGGAGACACTAGGACCCACAGGTACAGCCTCTTAGTGAAGGGATAACCCTTCAGAACTGAAATGAGAAGGAATTTCTTCAGCCAGAAGGTGGTTAATCTACGGAACTTATTGACACAGAGGCCATGTCGCTGAGTGCATTTAAGACAAAGATAGATAGGTTCTTGATTAGTAAGGGGGTCAAGGGTCACGGGGAGAAGGCAGCAGAATGGAGTTGATAAACATACCAGCCACGATTGAATGGCAGAGCAAACTTGATGGGCCAAATGGTCTAATTCTGCTGCTATATCTTATGGTCTAATATGTCTGTCTGTCTGCCAACACATGCATATACATATATACTGCTAAATGTCTGGCTTCTGATCTTGAATCAATCCACCAAATAGTGTTGACAATAGTCAGTGTTCAGGGAAATTGATTTTCAAATTGGGTTGTTTCAAAATTTCCAGAAAACAAACTGAAAACAGGATGTCTCTTTCTACCAAAATTCCATTTTTTTCAACTCGTTTCTGTGACTTAATGCAGCTTAGCCACAAACTCGGACTGAGGCTATAGTTCCATGTCTCACCAGCAGAAATTTTAAATGAGCATCTTTTGGAATTGAAACATTCATCTCCCTCTTGTGATCAAATATAGAGGCAGAAAATAGATACATACCAATGACATTATTGATTTAGTCTTACAGATCGCCTTACTGTTCAATTGAAATCTGAGTTGATGTTTCAATTTTATTAGTTGTCCTTAAAACAAAGACGCACGTGTAATTTTTTATAACTATTACCACTGGGAACTGGTTTATTTTCAGGTATCAACTCAGCAGACATGTTACATATTATAGTCATGTCTGGTGGAACTATCTGACATGCCTTGGGTTGATTCACGAACACCAATCCTTCTTATTGGCATTAGTTTAACTTATTGATATCAAGTGGAGAAGATACCAAGTTCCCACACATATTCTTCGACAGAAGTGAAGTTCAGTCTTGTTAAACAAAATAGGTTTATCACATAACTAGTTACATTATATCTGAATTACATAAGAGTACTTTGTAAGGCCTTAAGCGATCCTCGGAAGGCAATGGCCCAGTGGTATTATCACTAGACTATTAATATAGAGGTCCAAGTAATGTTCTAGGGACCTACATTCAAATCACATCATTGCAAATGGTGAAATTTGAATTCAATAATGACCTAGAATTAAGAGTCTAATGATGACCATGAAGCAGTTGTTGATTGTTAGGAAAAATTGATATGGTTCACTAGGAAAGGAAATCTACCATCTGTGTGACTCCAGACCCACAGCAATTTGATTGACTCTTAGTTGCTCTCTGAGCAATTAGGGATGGGCAATAAATGCTGACCTCGAAAGCGATGCCCACATCCTGTGAATTAATTTTTTAAAAACACTTAAGAATAAGTCTGAATTGCTGTTACCAACTTAGCACTGAGCAGGATTAGAACCACCATACTGGTTAGCTCCTCCCAGAAGTAGTCCTTTCATATCCTGATGGGTGGAACTCATCACCTGATAGTTTAGTTAACCCTTTCAGGTAATAGCTGCCTTATAAAACAGAGATCACATGGCTACATTTGTTCCCAGGCATCTTTGGAGAGTAGGCACATGGTGTCCACCAATATTCTCGATGCCTTTAGAGAGAAGTAAGCACTGTAGGAGATAGAGTGCTTTATCACCTCTTCCAACTCCATTTTCATTTAGCTCCTTTTCCCTCTCCCTACCTCTCCCTCACCTTTGATGGCTTGCATTGTGCTTAACAGGTGTTGCACACAAATTATTCAATTGGAAACATGGATGATTTACTGGCGATGGTTAACAGATGGATAAAAATATGACAGGTATTGGGGGAAAAAAGGTGAAGTTATTTATAAGAATGATTCTGGATATAGAATAAAACAAAAAAAAAGACAGGAATCACAGCACCCCACTCCACTTCACTCAAAACACACTCGGCAGTAGAGGAAATACTCGAATCTATTATGAAGAATGTAATTACTGGGTAATTAGAAAATAATTGTGTGATTAGTCAACATGGATTTATGAAAAGGGAGTCATGTTTGACAATGGTAGAGATTTTTGTGGGTGTTACGAACAGAATTGATAAGAAGGAACCAGTGTATGTGCTGCATTTGGATTTTGAGTTTGCTCTTGATGAAGTCCTATATAGGAGGCTGGGACCAAAATTAAAACACAGGGAATGGGGGAAATATACTAGCATGGATGCAGGATTGGTTAACGGGGAAAATGCAGAGATTAGAAATAAATGTGTCATTCTCAGATTAGCAGGCTGTACCAGTTGTGGTTGTTGACTTGCTTGCTGAGCTGATAAGTTTATTTGCAAACATTTCGTTGCCACACTAGATAACATCATCAGTGCGCCTCCGGTGAAGCGTCGGTGTTCTGTCCCGTTTGCTATTTATGTGTCTCCGTTTGCTGGGTCGGGTGGCATCACTTCTAAATTTGTTTCTAAGTTGTTGGTATATGGGGTCCAGCTCTACATACTTGTTAATGGAGTTCTTGTTTGAGATTTGAAGTGAAGTTCACCTCACCTGACAAAGGAGCAGTGCTCCGAAAGCTTGTGATTTCAAATATAACCTGGTGTTGTGTGACTTCTAACTTTGTCCACCCCAGTCCAACATTGCCACCTCAACATTGGTGTTGAAAGGGACCTGGGTGTCTGTTTGTTAGTATCTGAAAGCTAACAAGCAGGTGCAGCAAGCAATTTGGAAAGTAAGTGGGATGTTGACCTTTATAGCGAGAGGAATTGAGTACAGGAATGATGACGTCCATCTTCAATTGTATGGAATACTTGTGAAACCTCACCTGTAGTATTGTAAGCATTTCTGCTTCCCTTGCGATAGAGGGAGTGCAGCAACAGCTCACCAGACTGATTCCTGGGGTTGTGGGACTGTACTAAGAGGTGAGATTGGGAAAATTGCACCTGTATCCGCTGAAGTTTAAAAGAATGAGGGGCAATCTCATAGAAGTTCTCAAAATTCTTACAGGAATAGACAGGTAGATGCAGAAAAGTCAATTTCCCTACCTATGACGCCCAGCGACACAGATTCAATTAAAAAAAAACAAGCCATTTAGTACTAAGCTGAGGAGGAATTTTTTTTATCACTCAGAGGGTGGTGAATCTTTGAAATTCTTTATCTCAAATGACAATGGATGCTTAGATATTAAGTAAGTTCAAGACAGAGAATGACAGATTTCTAGATACTAACAACTCCAAGGGATCCAGGGATAATGTGGGAACATGGCATCGATGTAGATGATGAGCCCTGAGCTGGATCGGTTTGAGGGATTGAATGGCCTACTCCTGCTCTTATGTTCCTTTGTCCCATGTTTTGTGCAGCCAATCCTTCCTTCTTTTTATCAGCTTACAAAATTGAAAAGTCAGGAAGTTATGCAAAATCATATCAAACCTTTGCTACATCTGGAGTGCTTTGAGCAACTTTTGTTTTCTATATTATTAAAAATGAGATAAAGATTCTTAAGAGGGGGGAAGGGAAGATTGAAGGATGATGTATAAAATAATTGCTCTGAAAGGATTAATATTGCAGATTACATTAGGCTCCACCCAATTTGATGATGTCAGAATCTTTGACTAAAGAAGCAGTCTAGCATGAGGTCCCAATGGATACAGATGTGTCTTTGTTGGGTCCTGATAGTCTTTGTAATTATGCCAAACTCATCAAGGTAACATGTACATTGTCACCATGCATAAGCTACATCTTGTGATTAAGAGAAGTGCTTCAACTTAAAACAATGCATTTGTGGTTTATCATCTACCACTGCTAGTAGATAGGTTCTTAAACTCTGAGTAGAATGTTGGTACAGCAGTACAATAGAAGCCTTCAGAGACCAGTGACATTGCAGGGACTGGGGTGCTTCGTCACCCTGCACAATGTTATTTTGAGTTAGTAAGTTTCTGTTTCCTTTTGTAAGTTTCTATCAACCATTAGTTTTGTATTTTTGTTATAATCCTTCATCAGGGGGTTCTTTAATCTAATCTTGTTTGGTTTAAGAAGTAGAATGTTGAGGTCTCTGTGGCACTATGGTAATCTCCCTACCGTTGGACCAGAAGGCCTGGGTTCAACTCCCAATTGCACCAGAGATGTGTCATGACATTCCTGAACATATTGTTTTAAAATATCTGTAATATTCAGAGGCGGCACAGTGGCTCAGTGGTTAGCACTGCTGCCTCACAGCACCAGGGACCTGGGTTCGATTCCACCCTCGGGCGACTGTCTGTGTGGAATTTGCACATTCTCCTTGTGTCTGCCTGGGTTTCTTGTGGGTGCTCTGGTTTCTTCCCACAGTCCAAAGATGTGCAGGTTAGATGGATTGGACATGCTATATTACCCATAGTGTTCAGGGGTGTGTTAGGTGCGTTGGCCATGGTGGGGTTGCAGAGATGGGGTAGGGGGATGAGTCTGGCTGGGATGCTCTTCTGAAGTTCGGTGTGGAGTTGTTGGGCCGAATGGCCTGTTTCCACACTGTAGGGATTCTAATTCTAATCTTTGGCATGTGGGGCAGAATGCCACATTATAAGGCCTTAAGAAATAGGAACAGATGTGGGCCATTCAGCCCCTCAAGCCTGCTCTGCAATTCAGTAAGATCATGGCTGATCTGATAATCCTCACATTCACTTTCCTGCCTTTCCCCATAACTGGATTCCCCTACTGATCATGAATCTATGTGGAAGGATTCTGTCCCCATGGCTATCCATAGCAAAGACTCTCAACTTTCTAAGAGAAGAAATTCCTGCTTATCTCAGTTTTCCCCACCTCCCGGATCCAGCTCTGGGTCCCAACCCACGGCCTCCCGGATCCAGCTCCGGGTTTTCCCCGCCCCCCCGATCCAGCTCCGGGTTTTCCCCGCCCCCCCGGATCCAGCTCCGGGTTTTCCCCGCCCCTCCGGATCCAGCTCCGGGTTTTCCCCGCCTCCCTGATCCAGCTCCGCGTTTTCCGCCCCCCAGATCAGCTCCGGGTTTTCCCCGCCTCCCTGATCCAGCTCCGGGTTTTCCCCGCCTCCCTGATCCAGCTCCGGGTTTTCCCCGCCTCCCTGATCCAGCTCCGGGTTTTCCCC